ATATGTTTATACAAGCTTCAAAGCTTTGCATCTTGGGCAGTCATCACTGCAGGACGGCTCCAGTATTAGCTACCAAAACTAAAAATCCTACTTTATTAAGGTGTAGGTTAAATCACTATTTTTCAAACTTTTGAAATGGTATTCTATACTACGTTCTCAATATTATTTTAATTTCCAAAATCAAATGAATATTGTGCCATAGTAAATCAAGGCAGTGGAACAGAACACTCCTTTGTTTCCATGTCTTACCTTTTTTGAAAAATCACTGAATTAAATTTTGTCTCCGGATTACAAAGGCAGTATCGCTGTCCTGGTTTAGCTATGTCTGTTTTATCTAAAACTTCAGTTTTAGATTCCCATGCCTCTCCAGTTCCATGTTGATTAGTCAATGAATGAATACATTCATTCAACAAATATTTATTGACTGCCTACTACGTGCAAGGAAGCAGGTTGGGTTTATTGAACTCAAAAGTGAATTGAGCAGACAAGCATCCCTGTGCTTGCGGACTTCACATGGTTTTAACCAGAGTTGGGTTGCTAGTTATAGGGATGTATGTATCTCTGAATGCAGTTTCATAGTATTTAACCTTTGCAGAGCCAGCTTTTTAAAAATCTAAGCTGTTTCCTTTCTTAATATTTGTAACATCTGCACAAATGATAACAATATGATGTTCCTCTCGTGTAAATGCCTGCTGGAAAATGCTTTCTGAGCCCTTCCTAAGTTTTGTTAGGAATAGAACAGCTGTTCATATAGAATATGGACTGTCTGCCTTCTGAAAAGTAACTTCCCCTGTTCCCCAGAAGCCCGTGGTTGTTTCTTTATCCTGCTAGCTTACATCCCCATTACCCAACAACTGGAATTAAACTTAGGCGTTTGTTGTTTTGCTGGGGTTTTGTTGTTTAATTATTCTCAATGAAGTGTTGGTTATACTATCAAGTCTTTGTAACCGATGAGCAATTATTTGCTTACTCTTATCTGGCTAGAGTTAACTAGCTTGTTTCTAGATAATAAAATAATTCTTAGTTCTCACCATTCCCCAAGAAGACCTATACTGTATAATATGAAAACAGAACTGAAAATGTTAGTGCGGTTTTTACTTTTGAGTATCAGTTTACACATTATGACCTACATAACAAATGTATTTTATTTACTTCAGATATTTTTAGTATATTCTTCCAAACTGTGGGATTCACAAGACTAAGGATTTGTGTTATGCTATTTTGCGGTAGCATTCAGAAGACACTTAATTTACACTTAAGCTTTGTACAATGTAATTTTTTTCTTTTTTGTTTAAAAAACAATTAAATGATAGTATTTCTTTTAGGACATATCTTCATTTTTGTTAATTAAAAGACAGGAGGGTAGAAAATAGTAACAAAGAGTTCCAATGACACATTAGAACACTAAATCTCTTTCTTGAGTATCAGCGAGTTCTTAGAAAAAATAAATACAATAAAACTAAACCACCTAGTCATTGTTCTCTTCATCGAATACAGTTTTTAAAGAAAACAGGTCAAACCCTTTGTGAATATCAGAGTGATGATCTCCTCTCCTACCACAACAAACGTTAAATAAATTCGTAATGCACTTTAAAAGGCTAGAAGAAATGTGTAAATGTGAACCACATAGGGATCCTTTTATCCAGAAATTCTTCTTTGACTTAAATTAAGTGCTGCCTATATATATATTCATATATATACCATGTTGCTCAGTACACTGTAATAACTATTCATTACGTATTCCTCATTATACTGCACACTATGAAAGCAGGGTTATGGCTTTATCTTAGAGCCTGGTCAACCAATCAATGTGTGTGAATGTGTGTATGCAAGAGAATTCTAATTAGCCTCTTTAGCTCTGGTTTTGCCTTTTCCTTTACTGGCTGAAGTTGTTGTTGCTGTTTTTTAAATTAAGTGATCATTATGAGAATTGTGATCAGTAATCTATGACATATTTTATATTTTCTTTCTTGAGCTTTAAGTTACTAAAATAATACATACTTTTTAAAGTAATATAAATAATATTAAATAATAATGATAAATTAATGCTTATTTAAATAAAATAAAATTTTATTTTAATAAAAATGCAACTGTGTATTATTGTGGTGATAACTTGTTTACTTTTAAAATTAGCTTCTTTATCTTTTGTATTTAATTTTGACTTTAATCAAAGAAATACATGCACACAGTTAAAAAATCAAATGGCAGAAGGTTTATTATAATGAAAAATAGCATTCTTCTGCCTTGTATCTTCCTACTACCCAGACCAACTATATAGAAGTAACAAGTTTCTGGCATTCATATCCACAATTTATTTTATATATCCATAATTGCAAATGATATGCTTATCGCTAGTTCTTGATTTATCTGTTTTTCAAATTGATATAATGAATAATGAATTCATTTCAAATGAATAATGAAAATGAAGAAACTAGTGAGAGAGAAAAGCATGCAAATAAAAAAGTGAATAAAATCTAAGTTAACATATTCTACAGTTGATATCTGCATAGGGTGTTTTGGGTCCATAAAGAACAGGTAAGTATTTTAGGTCTCCCAAATTACTTTGAAGAATAACTGTATTATTTATGCTTCCATTACCAGTAAACAAAAGAGTGCTCATCTTTCTGTATTCTTGCCAACACAGTGTAGAATCCAGCATTCAAATGTGTGCTCTTCTGATGGCATGAAGTGGTATCTTACTGTTTTTTTTTTTAAATTTGTATCTTCCCAATAACTAGTGATTTTGAACATTTTAAACTATACTTGATAGCTGTTCTAGCTTCCCCCTCTGAGAAACTGCCTGTTCAGTGTTTTTGCTCATTTTTCTATTAGTTTTCTCTGAATATATATTTTAATATTAATTCCTTGTTGGTTTTAAGTCTTCTCTCAGTTTATTTATAAAATTTATCTATGGTATCATTCATTGAAAAATTCTCATTTGGTTTGGCCAGATCTATCAATTTTATGCCTTACTATTTTAGGTCTTGTTTCAGAATTATTTTTTAATTTTAGGTGTCAAAAATAGTCACCTAAGTTTTTCTATTAGCTTTGAAAGGATAGCTTTCACATTTAAAACCCTTTAATCTCACTGGAATCCAAATTCGTACATGGTATAAAATAAGGAGCTAAGTTTATTTTTTGCCAGATTCTGAGACGGTTTTTCTTTGTCCATACAATAACTCAGCACCAACCTTTTCTTTTACTTTGTGATGTTACCTTATATAAAACTCCGATTGATATGTGGGCTTATTTCCAAACTCCATTTCTCTGTCTGCACCTGGCTTTGGCAGTAAACCTAATATTTGGTAGAATGGATTCCCTCTCTTTGTCCTTTATTTATTTATTTATTTTTTAAAGATTTTATTTATTTATTTGACAGAGAGAGAGAGAGAGAGAGCGAGCAGGAACACAAGCAGGGGAAGTGGGAGAGGGAGAAGCAGGCTTCCCGAGGAGCAGGGAGCCCGATGCGGGGCTTGATCCCAGGACGCTGGGATCAAGACCTGAGCCGAAGGCAGATGCTTAACCGACCGAGCCACCCAGGCGCCCCTCTTTGTCCTTTATTTTTGAAGTTTACTTTGAGCTATAGCATATACTTTTAAAGTGGGTTTGTGGATTTTATTTAAAAATCTAGAATTTATAGATTGATTTAGGAAAATTTGATATCTATGGAAATGGGAAGGAGAAAATAAGCCAATATGGAATTAGGAAATAATTTAGATTGCTACATATTAATAAGAAATCTATTTCTTTTGGTGGCATATAGCAGGCAAAAAATTATTATGGAAGAAAGATTAACACAAGGAAAATCAAGAGGGGAGCCTGCTCATGTGCAAAATTCTATCATTAAGAGACAAATGAACAATAGAAGCAATAAAGACTGCTAGAATGTGAAGAACGGGCATTTAAATTACCTTAATTTTTGTGACTTCGAGTTACCTTGATAACTAAAATAATGGTTTCAAACTATGCTTTGCAGAATACCTGAGACTTTGTAGAATACCCCCAAGGTACCTGGGAAAAGAACGGGTGGTACTGAATAGTGGGGGCTCTGATTCAACCAGAATACTTGAATACCTCATTTTTATCTGTGTAACTAGTTGACCCGTCACTAAGATTTTATTGGAAGAAAGGATTTTTAGCCAGAAGTGTTTGGAAACAATTTAAATAAAATTAGTGAAATGTCTAAATGGTATATGATGTCATCCATCCTTTTCAATGGCTGTGGAAGGCATTGCTAATAGAATACAGGACTACTTCCTGCTAGACTCAGATTTAATCTCCATATAGCTTTCCATGTGGTCACTAACAATCAATCAAGTTGGTGTGTCAATCAAAATCCATTTATTACCTGTGTACTATTAAATTCTGTAATTTTGTTGGTCCTTAAGAACACTTATTTTAGCCTAAGAAAGGTATGAGCTAAATCTTTCAGATTAAAGAAGGAAGAGGCTAGAAAAGAGAGTTGTTAAGTAGGAAATGGGTCTAGGAAATACTCATTCAAGTAACTATTAAGGTAATAACCCTTACTTTGCAATTATAAGGAGAAAATGCTTACTACCAATGTGTTAATTGTGGAAAAGCCTACAAAGCTCATTAAGTATGTGTTGAAGAGGCAATTGAAATCAGTCATGTTTTCAGTTGGGAATCTTGAGACATAAATAATTGTATTATATAAATTATAAAATTTAATCACCAAAAGTTTAAACCTGCCAAATCAGTGTAAGAGTGGGAGATAAAATCTGCATCTCTTAGAGATGCATCCCATGCTGTCTCCATGGTCCTTGCTTTGGTCCAAACAATAGATTTTAAACTTCTCAAAATTAAAATGTAGAAAAGCATGTTCATACACATTTGAAGAGTTCCAAAGCAATGAATGCATTAACAGTTATCTTTATTTGAGGTTGAGTATGTTTTATGTGCTATGAAGTCATTGAACTAATTGTGACAAAAATTTAAAATTAATTTTTAAAGCAGTGACAGTTATTTGTTTCTATTAACAGGGTTATTCTAATGTGATGCTGGGATTGAGTTTACCTAGGACTCCATATCAAGGTTGACTCGAAAGTCTTGTGGAAGATCTGGGAGAAATTCGTAAGTGGCCTTTTGATAATTCTTTTTGGTTCGTTGTGCTTTTGTCTGTTTTTCTAGTGTTTATTTTATTCTTTAATTGTTTGGTTAGGTATCTTTGCCCAGATGTTAAAGTTATTAGTGAACCACAGAGACTTGTGGTTCCTATAGTATGACTATAGGAATATTTACCACTGTCGCTTCTCTTGCCTTTCCCATTTCACTCCTTGCTGTGCTTTCCCTTCCTATTAAACTTGGTTTCTTTTTTTTTTTTTGAAAATTATTACAAATTTATGCAGAAGATGAATTTGGTTTTGAAATATTGAAATGATTAGTCAAGAAAAGCACTTGGATTATTTTTGGTTATCATTATGCGATTTTTTATACTCATGTTTTCAGTATTACTTTATTAAGATTGAGTTGATGTTGAGGTTTTTGGGGGAATCTAGAAATGCCAAAAATAAAGAGAATAATGTACTGGTAATGATTTTTTTTTTGAAACTTTGATTTTTCATATAAACTTTTTGAGATCCAGCAAATCAGCTGTTTAGAAAGCATTTGTTTTTGTTTGTTTGTTTTTAATGTTGTACTTCTTTAAATCTAATGGAAATTTTCCTTGATGTTTACAGTGTCAATTTAGAGACCTTTAAATCCATTGTTTGGTATAAAGCAAGGGATACAGACATGGCATGAGGTGCATTTCCAAAAGATGTAGATTTATTTCCCACTCTTACTCGATATATAATGTTTCTGTAAAATTATTTTTTCAGTGTCACCACTGAACTATGGTATCAGTCAAGCAGTAGGTTATAGCTGGCCAAATCTGTAAAAATATAATTATAAAAAGAAAACTAAAAGAAATTTTAGGTGAGCAGTTTATATCATTTCTCATCCTAGTCTTAACCCCAAGAGAAGCCATGGTGTCTGGTTTCTTCTGAATTATTTTTATTTCTTTCCCACCCCACCCCAGAATTCTTTATCAGTGGGGTTCACCGAAAGTGTAGGACAGGCCTCAGGATCCTTGTTGTTCTGCCTATATTGCTCTACCCATTTCTGAAACTTTCTCCAGATGGAGGTTGCATATCTTCCCTAAGATTTTTTTCAGTGTGCTTGAATTATATAGTCAAATATTTCTCAGGCATTTTACCTACTTGTTTTGCCTGTGGACTTCGTATTTTGTACCAACTTTATTATTTTGCCAGATATAGAAAGAAAATGATTCCACATTTATTTAGGATTTAAGATTTTTAAAGCACTTTGGCAACTTTTTACTTCATTTTACTCTTTAACTAAACTCATTAATTTTACTCTTGCATTGCTTATGACATAAGGATGACCTTATTATCCTATGTTTAGTAAGTGGGGAAACTAAAACACAAAGAATTTAAATGATTTGGGAAAATTAATATAGCCTGTTGTGATTTTATAGTTAATAATAAAGAATAAACAATTAGGTATTACTAGACTATCTGCTAAAGCCCAATCATTTTTTTTTTTCTGGGTTAAGTCCTTTATGCTTTCTATAGACAGTGGCTTTGTTGATACATTCTGTCTTTATAAGAACTTTTAATATTTAAATCCTCATTTGTTGAGTAATAGGACATTTGTTTTAATAAAAGTAGGGAGATTTAAGACTTGTAAGTGGGAGGTACCTGACAATGAACATCATGAAACCATGAAAGAAAGGATTTTTAGAAAATAGTCTTTTTCCCAGAAGGGAAACATAAAAAGGTTAGTTCTCAAAACTGCTTCTGTAACTTGCTAATTAGACTTTTTCTAGGCGTATGCTTATAGTAGTTTTTATATATATTTTTTTTAAGATTTTATTTATTTATTTGACAGAGAGAGACAGCGAGAGAGGGAACACAAGCAGGGGGAGTGGGAGAGGGAGAAGCAGGCTCCTGGCTGAGCAGGGAGCCTGATGTGGGACTCGATCCCAGGACCCTGGGATCATGACCTGAGCCGAAGGCAGACGCTTAACCGACTGAGCCACCCAGGCGCCCAGTAGTTTTTATATTTTTAAATGAAGACCAGCCACATATTGGTGGAAATAATGCATATGCAAAATGGCAGTGGTTCATCTTAATGAAAAAATACATTCCAAAAAAGTGTTTTTTTCTTGGGAATATATAGAATTATGGACCCTAGAGCTGGAGGCATTATGACAAGAGAAGAGTGGCATGATGGAGAGGCAAGGATTTGTGAGTCAGGTAGATCTGGCTTTGCATCCCTCTAGCCATATGCTAGCATTTTTAATCAACTTTGGTTAATTTCCTTAAATTGTTGCACATCGGTTTTCAAATTGTAAAACCAGGGACAGATACATGGTTTGTTGGATTATTGTAAAAATTTAGCACATGATACATAGCTGTTTTCAAGAAATACCAGTTTTTTTCTTCAATTGCCACTGTTGTGTTCCCTCCCCTCCCCAAATCCCTAAAGTGAATACTTGGTTGAATCTTCCTCTTTTTAAGCAATTTCTTTAGCATTATCCCCATTTTATCTCTCAGAGAGGTTAAATAACTTGCCCTAGCCTCTACTTCTAAAATGGTAACTAAAATATTATTTCATATAACTTACAACTGAGACCCATTGTGTGTTTGGGTCAAGTGGTGGTTGGCTGAGTGTGGATGTATATGTGTGTGTTTTACTTCATCATAGTCATAATTATTTTCAGAGTTTCCATCATAAGAGTATTAAATTCAATTAAAATATAAGTTTTAGTTATTTCAGTGTACTAGAAAGAAACTTTATTCTCATACTTAGAGAAATTGCTATAAGCTTCATAAATACTTGTTAAAAATTAAGCATCATACATGACAATATATTGGCTCAAATTTTCAAGTTATCGAAAAGTAAATGGACCAAAGAGGAAGCTGATTTGGCTGATGAGGGTCTGGGTCAGTGATTTCTACTCACGGCATATGATATTCCTTAGCAAGAAATAGAGTGGACAGAACTGCAGATAGACAGGCTATAGAGTGTAGCTTTGAGAATGGAGACTTGGAAATCAGATTGCCTAGATTTGAAGCTTGGGTCCAGGACAGACTTACTGTATGTGAAACCACGGACAAACCATTTAAACTGTCTAACCCTTAATTTCTGAGTCTAGAATATAGAGATAAAAGACCTACTTTACAGAGTAGGCTTGAGGACTACGTGTATAAATTCATATAAACATGTATAAATTCATAGCAAACATTAAAAAAACTGGGTGTTTTATTTCCTATTGTATTAATTTTACAATTGACTGTAGTTTCAGGCTATTTAGCAAATATGCTGTATAGCATTCTAACTTTGGTCCAAGAAATGGTAAAAATGAGATAGTTCTGTAAATGTGATTTTTGTGCTTTGGTCAGCATGTGTATTAGTTTTCTACTGCTATATGACGTATTACATATTTAAAAGCTTAACACATATACTTTTGTTAACTCACAGTTTCCATGGGATAGGAGTCCAGGTACAGTTTAGCTCAGGGTCTCCTAAGGCTGCAATCAAAATATTGGCCAGGCTGCATTTTCAAATGGAGTTCAGAATTCTTTTCCAAATTCAGTGGTTTTTGGATGAATTTAGTTCATCAGGGTTGTAGGACTAAGATCCTCAGCTCCTAGAGGCCATCTACAGGTCTCATGCGTGTGACCCTCTCCATATGCAGTCCACATTATAGTAGCTTGCTTCTAGAAAGCCAGTAGGAGAATCTCTACTGTGTGATAGCAAGATAAAGCCATATGTGTATATGTATGTATGTGAATATAGAGTGTGTTTATATGTATTAACATAATCATTGAAGTGACATCCCATAACCTTTGCCATATTGTATTGGTTAGAAGCAAGTCATAATCCTACCCACATAAAAGAGGAAGGAATTCTATAGTGTATGAACATGGGGGCCACCCTAGGGTCTGTCTGCCACAGCATGATAAACTTCTTAATTTAAAATTCATATAACCTATTACTTTAGATGTTTACAATTAGGTACTATTTAATAAAAAGAAATATTGTCATTAATGGTAAACTTTTATTCTCAGTTATGCTTATGGTGTTACTCCTAACAGGTCATTCCTCCCTGTCTAAGATTTATCCATTATTTCATGCTGGCTAACCCAAGGTTAAATGCAGCCTACCCTGGTATTCTATACTCTCCAGAATCTGCCAAAACCCAATTACTAACCTTTTCTCTTCATTATTCTGATATAGATACCTTGAGCTGCTTGCCTTACACTTGCCTACCTTTTTGTCAATTCACATCCTATTGTTTTTTTCTTTTCTCTATCTCTTTAAAGCACATTTACATCTCTACCTCTTCATTGTACTTGTCCCGTTTCTTTCCTCCTTTTCAGCCAGCCTAGGGCTTTTCCTGCAGAGCATCATACCTTTCCATAGATTTCATCACTGTCCTTGGCTTTGTGGGGAATATAAGGATTAATATTATACTGAATAATGATCTCTAGGGCGCCTGGGTGGCTCAGTTGGTTAAGCGACTGTCTTTGGCTCAGGTCATGATCCTGGAGACCCGGGATCGAGTCCCGCATCGGGCTCCCTGCTCGGCAGGGAGTCTGCTTCTCCCTCTGACCCTCCCCCTTCTCATGCTCTCTCTCTCTCTTATATAAATAAAATCTTAAAAAAAAAATACTGAATAATGATCTCTAAAGTAAATGTAATTTGATAAGCATGTATATTTGTACGATAGTGAGCCAGGTGAGAAGAAAATGTGAAATGTTTAGATTTCACCTGTAATACTGGTTTTCTAATATGCAGAGGCCCCTTTTAATCTCTTGCTTGTTGATCACATCAGTGTTAGAGAAGTGTACATTTTTGGCATTGGGTAGGTCTGGCTGCTGGTCTGGTACTGGTTCTTTTGTAGAAGAGCTGATTGGAGTAGTTTAAAACACTCTTTTACAGAATCTGAGCTTGCAAAATCTATTCTACTAACCTATCATGCTAGTTTTCTGTTACTCTTCTTTAATGTTGTAAAGGACAGAATTATATGGAAGCATCTGGATATGTGAACACATATTTGGGGT